CAGGCATACACTTAATATATAAATAAATAAACCAGGCATACACTTAATAAATAGATAAATAAAACAGGCATACACTTAATATATAAATAAATAAAACAGGCATACACTTAATATATAAATAAATAAAACAGGCATACACTTAATATATAATAAATATTTTTTCCTTTTTTTGTATTTTATAATTTAATTTTACATATCAGCCTCAGATTCCTTGTTCTCCTCCCTTCCGCCCCCCCAAATAAATAATTTAAAAAATAGTCAGAAGATACAGAATAGAAGATATTTCTCAGTTCTCATGGGAAATAGGAGATGTTTGTAATAAAACATATTTGGGGAGCTGGAGAGATGGCTCAGAGGTTAAGAACACTGTTCTTCCAGAGGACCTGAGTTCAATTACCAGCAACCACATGGTGGCTCACAACCATCTGTAATGAGATCTGGCGCCCTCTTCTGGTGTGCAGTTATATATGCTGTATACATAATAAATAAATAAATCTTTAAAAAAAAAAAGAGTTCTCCTTTTAAAACGTATTTGGAACACTAACTTCTTCCTCTGCATTCTGTGAAAGCACAGAGCAGGTGTCAGGGAGTGAGAACAACCTGTACACAGTTATGTAGGCAATATGCGGCGTCACCACAGTCATTTCTGGACACAGCTCCATCCTCCACAGGAGGGGAGAGTAGTTGAGTCTGAAAACTCCCGGGTTTCATACTTACTTGACAGCAGTCCAGCCCACCACACCCATTCCTTGAGGTAAGAATGTCCACCTTGCCCTGGAAAATACCAAGAGAACAAAAATCAGGTCCTCTCCTCAGGAGATAAGGACAGATGAGCTGACTCCTAGGGAAGGTGTCGGGCATGCCGGAGAAGGCTAGGCTTCTGGTCACCTCGGCAACTGTCCTCTCTGAGGACACTTACTTGGTCCCTCCCAAGGTCGTTTCAAGCTTGCTGGTACCCTGACTCCTGAGAAAGTTCCTTTGACTTGTATAAAACTGTATCATCGTCAGGGTCACTAACGATGTCAGTAGGCAATACAGGTATGGGTATTATGAATTCTGAATATTTTACTTCAGCCATGGTTAAAATTAAAACCCAAACCATAACTTGTAAGCAACACTGGTCCTAGTGGGAAGAAGATATTTGATACAGGATCTTTTGAAACTTTGGATGAGTCAATTAAAGAGGAACTGGTGGGCTCTGCTTCTCCTTCACCTTGCCAGACCCAAGGACAAAAGGCTTTTCTGAAGATGCCTAAAGTCATCTCCCCATGACCATGACCACTGACCTAACTCACTGCTAACATGTTAGCTATAGAAAATGGAATTTTCTCAATTGTGACACTTCCTGACTTTGGCCTGGATGATTTTGTCATAATTAAACTAAGAGGATATATAAACAGTAAGGATGATCTTGCAAAGCAGTTTATTATGCCTCTTTAGTATTTTCTCCTTATAAAATTTACTAACGGCTAAACAGGAAGCATCCCATCACACTGGATGTCTGCACCTCTCATCTGTACTTTTTACTTGAGTGGTTGGCCTATTTTGTTAGGTGTGGTGGTTTGAAAGAAAATGCCCCCCCAAAGGGACTGGCACTGTTAGAATGTGGGCTGTTGGGAAAGGCGTGACCTTTTTGGAGGAAGTGTGCCTCTGTGGGGGTGGGCTTTGAGGCCTCTTTAGTTCAAGTTTTCTTCAGTGTGACAGTCAGTTCACTTCTGTTGCCTGCAAGACGAAGGACTCTCAGCTCCACCACCATGTCTGCCTGCATGCTGCCATGCTTCCCATCATGATGATAATGGACTGAACCTCTGAAACTGTAAGTGAGCCACCCCAATTAAATGCTTTCTTTATAAGAGTTGCCGTGGTCATGGTGTCTCTTCACAGCAATAAAAACCTAACTAAAACATTAGGGTATGCATTTTTTTCTTGTCTGCAATTGTTCTTTACATATTAGGAATTTTATAACCCTGTGTCCATATATTTAATAGCCCTCCACATCATCTGATTGTTTAGTTTCAAGTAAGTTATTTCCAAATAGGATGTCTGTGTGTGGCCTGTTTTATCCACTCAGAGAATTATTATTTTTCTCCACTCAGAGAATCTCTTAAGTTACACAGAATATAGTCTTCCTTTACACAGAATAGATTCATGCTTAAGAAGGCTTTCTTTGGGGTTAAAAGTTATCTCAAGTTCAAAGAATCTAGAGTGAATTTTGCAGAATGGTAACAAGTAGAACTCTCACATTTTTCCCTCTACTTTTTCCTAATTTGTCTCAGTATTTTAGTTGAATAATTTATTTTTCTTCACTGGTCTGAAATACGACTTTTTAAAATTACATATTAGCTTCTATATGTAATCGGTTCTGTGGGAGACCCGCTCCCACATTTTCCCCAGGGTACTCTTAAGGAGGGAGAAGTGAGAAATATTTAGATAGAAATACAGAGGGAGAGAAACAGATAGCAATGCAGGACAGCCTCGGGAGGGCCTGGATCCTCATCCACAGGCCCTCACTGTCTCTTCTAAAGGGCTTTTTCCAGAAATGGGAAGGGGTGGAGCAAAGACCTCCCCTTAGCACAGCCAAGTGCAGACCCTTCTAATGACCTAGTAACCACACATGTGGTCAAGCAATCCTCCAATGCAGCTCTGCTGTGTAAAGCAAGCTCAGCTCTCACTAGGAACCTCTGTGGGCCTCCACACTGTTCTACCTGGACGTTTTCAACAATCCCTTACTATTTGTTTTAATTCCAGTATCAAATTGTTTTCATTAAGACCAAAATATAGTGTATTTTCTGATGGACCAAAGCTTACTATTTGTTTTAACTCCAGTATCAAATTGTTTTCATTAAGACCAAAATATAGTGTATTTTCTGATGGAGCAATCCTCCTCTCTCACTACTCCTTCAGAAACTTGTTTACATAATTTACAGTCATTTATTTTTCCATAGTGACCCAGGGAAAAAAATTAAGTTTCTTGTGCTATTATAGTTCATGAAAATGAATATAAATGTGTGGCTAATACAATCAAACAGGCTACTTGGCATCTGGAATGTCACTATAAACAGCAGCATAATTCTACCTCTGCTCATTCATTGATTCCACAAATATTTGGTGGGTGCTAACCACTGCTGAGTGCATGGTTTATGAGTCTGCTACCAGTAAACAAGTCAACCTGATGACTAAAATGAACAATAATGCAATACCTTAGAGGCAATGAAGGAAACTGTTCAGTTCAATGATAGAAATTGAGGGAGGCAGTTCTAGGAAGATGGACTACGACAGAATTCAGAGCCATGAGTCAGCTAGACGAAGGTAGAGAGTTCAGGGCAAAGGGAAAAGCTCTTTGGGTAGAGAGGAACGTGCTCAAGAACTTGAGTGGAGACTTTGCCTGTAGAGTGCGTTTCTTACCTGCTCTAGTGATGCCCTTGTCGGCCAGTTGCAAGAGACCCTTCTTTTTGAGTATGAAACTTGAACCAATGAAAATGCTGGAGCTGATGGCCAGTGCCAAGCCCCCATAGAGACTGTATCTGTTTTCGACATTGGCAGAAATGCTGAAGTTGGTGACAGTGGAACTCAGGTTCGTGAAGAGGGCAGGATGAGGCAGCAGCTGTGACACGCTTGTGATCTCACAGGAAGCCTGGGAAGAGTTCGAACAGACCAGAGACAGCACGTGACCTGGGAAAAAGGAGGAGGAGGAAGGGATGTTAAAAATGCGAGGGAGCTGTGTAACAACTTATTACTTTCCGCAAAAGAGAGGCTTGAGTGGACGGAAACACTTTTTTACTGTAAGCAGGGAATTCCCTAAGAGGTGGTACACAGGCCTATAGACATTGTTTCTTTCTTTTTCTTTTTCTTTCTTTCTTTCTTTCTTTCTTTCTTTCTTTCTTTCTTTCTTTCTTTCTTTCTTTCTTTCTTCCTTCCTTCCTTCCTTCCTTCCTTCCTTTCTGTCTTTCTCTCTTTCTTTCTTTCTTTCTTTCTTTCTTTCTTTCTTTCTTTCTTTCTTTCTTTCTTTCTTTCTTTCTTTCTTTTCTCCCCCTTTTTTTCTTTCGAGGCAGGGTTTCTCTGTTTAGTCCTGGCTGTCCTGGAACTTACTCTGTAGACCAGGCTAGCCTCCAAGTTAGAGATCCTCCTGCCTCCGCCTCCCGACTGGTGCCAGGGACTGGTGCTGGGTTTTAAGGCATGGGCCACCACAGCTCAGCCCTATAGACACCCTCAATATAGATTGCACACATTCTTAAAATGATTTAAAAATTGCCTAGTTGTCATTGTTCGAAGATGAGAGATTTCACGTGAAAGTCCAGGATCCTCTGATCAACTGAATGGCCTGGCATCATGTGGATCTTGGTTGCAGTAAGGAAGCAGCAGCCTGTTGGAAGTGAGTGCTTGTGTAGACCTGGCTTGCGCTCCACAGTTCACCACAGCAGACCCCACCCCCATCCACTGCACTCCTTCTCATGATCAGACTGTCTCTCAGAAAGCAGGGCTTACCGCATAGAAACGTGGAGAAGGCTGTGGCAATGCCACTGGCCTCTAAACTACCCTATTATAGGAAATTTAGCCCAGCCATTTGTGGGTTATGAACTGTGCATTCCAGAAAAGGCATTAAACTTTAATTTTGCATGCCACTTTGCCCAGAGAAAATCATTTTTCAGTTTAACTAATTCACTTGCTCCTGAATAAAACAGAATTTTATGGAGAAATGAATTAAACATCAGTAGGCTTTATAAAGAATAAGACTGAAGCAAGAATGTAAACCCACGGGAACAGACCCATTCTGTGCATTGGGGCTTTTAGGCTAAGCTCCGAAACTCTTAATAGTCTGTCACTCGAACAGATTCTGAGTCAAAACTCTTAAATATTTCAAGGAAATTACATTATTAGAAATGTTCTAGAATATCGTTTTAAAAGAGCAAAGCTACACAGAGAAACCCTGTCTCAAAAAAACAAAAAACAAGAAAGGAAGGAAGGAAGGAAGGAAGGAAGGAAGGAAGGAAGGAAGGAAGGAAGGAAGGAAGGAAGGAAGGAAGGAAGGAAGAACAAGTGCAAATGTTCAAAGTAGCCAGGACTCAGCATTCTTCCAGTGGGCATCCCATCTCAACCCAAGACATGATCCGGGAGTGGTGGCACTCTCTCGTAATTAGGGCACTTGGGAGTTCAGCTCACAATTTTGGGGCCGGCCTGGATCACAGGAGGGACAACGGACAAAATAAAACAAAAAACAAAATAGCCAACCAAAGAAACAAACTGAAAACAAACGGGGTGTGAGCAGGGAACTTTTTCACTGGTTACAGTTCTGACGGCGTTCATTCCCGAGAAAAGAACATGGAACATAACTTCCCAATGAACACATTCCTGTCCTTCAGTCTGCAGCTAACATAACCATTCCAGAGCTTCATCCATGAGCTCAGGGTGGGCGGACCTCATTCCAGCACAACAATATGCCTTCTAAGTAGCTGACGGAGCAAAAACAGTTCCTACACTTTAGGGGGTGTGGGGACAGCGGTTCCAAGGGAACGCAAATAATTTTTGGTTGCATTTTCCAAGTTCTCTGTGGAAGTGGCAGACAGGAAGGCTGGGGGTTTTATGGCAGGACAAATAATAAAAATCTTGCTTGGTTACTGACCTTAGAACTTCAATCATTTAACGATTTGGGAGTATATTCAGGGAGGAAAGCCCACAGAGGCTGTGACTGAAGGAGGGAGAGAGAATGGGGGTGTGGAGGTGCCCAGGGCACAGGGAGGAGAGGGTGGGGCACAATGTGTGGGTAGAGACCGGGAGGATGTTAGAGGATTCAAAGCTATCTCTAATCAGAGTAGGCGTCTCAAGATCCCAGGACACAAAGTCATTCATTATTCAAGGAGTTGAATCTAGACTTTACTCAACATTGAAAGTCTATAAAAGTCCCTGAAAATTTGTAATAGACCCTGCCAGTCACTTTGAAAGTGACTACAAATGTATACCACCAGAGAGCTTGCTCAATTTCTTTGATGTTATTTTTAAAATATTAAGTAAAAATTAGTTAATATTTTAATTTTGTGTCATTTGTCAAAAAGAATAATACTCAAACTTTGTCAATGAATCAACCACACAATTTAAGAAATAAAATATTACTCTTTATAGGTGACACCTACCCTGGACCCTCTTTAACATTTCTCTCCTTAAAATGGTGATTTCCTTGCTACTGTGCCAAAGATGTGTAACTGCAAATGGTTCAGCCGTGTAACCCAAGTCGACCTTTTTATTTCAGAAAATTATAAATATAAGTAAAACCAGTAAAATCTAAATGTTGATACAAAGGTGAAATGCTTTCATCTCTCAAAACTCTAGCTATCTTTAGAGAACCGTTTAATTGTACAGTTTATGACAGGCTATCTGATTTCTAGAGAGTCTATGGTTGGGCAAAGCTACATTTGAACTTGAGAATCACAGCCATGCATTCCCAGGTTGAGATAGCCTTGTCTCCCCATCCATGTAGTTTTCTGTGTTGATTAGTCACCCCTTAGCCTTCCCGTTGTTGGCATAAAGTTCTTCCCCTGCTGTGGTTTGGATGTTAAACGTCCACGAAAAGCCTGGTCCCCAGAGTGGTACTATGGGGACACAGCGGCACTGCCAGAGCTGGGCTCTAGTAGTGGGGAACTCCTCTTTCATTTTTTCCTCCTCCCATGACGAGGGGGCAGTTTTCTCCTGCCATAGACTCCCACTGTGGCATGCTGCCTCACCACAGCTCCAAAGCAATGGGATAAAAAGTCCCAGACTGGACCTTCCAAAATGATGAGACACGATGTGTCGTTCCTCTTTATAAACGGCTTCTCTCTGTGGATTATCTCTGCCGCTGATGTTGAGAGCTCAGCAGAGGTGACATGGATTCAAGCTTCAGCTTCCTTACCATCCCCTCACTATGTCTTCTTCCCTCGGGGGTCTCATACACTCCAGGTTGGCCTTGAACTTGCTATGCAAGCGAGAGTGACCATGAACTTCTGGTTCTCCTATATCCACCTTCCAAATGATGGGATTACAGGTGTGCAGCATCACACCTGGTTTACGTGGTGGTGGTGTTTGGGACCAAGCCTAGGGCTGTGTGTGTACTTGGTAAGTACTCCGCCAAAGGAGCAACATCCTTAGCCTGAGTTTACTCTCTTGCACATCTGTAATTCTCAGAGCTGCTGCTGGCCTTTTAGCCTGAGTCCCACTCATGAAGAAAACACGAGGAGGACCTGAGAACCAGTCCCAGGCAGATATGCAGCCTGAAGGAAGCAGGAACCCAGTCTGGTCCACCCTCAGTTGACTTGCAGATACACCTGCAGGAATGGAGTACAGCTCCCCATCTCATTGCTGTAGAAAATCTGAATGAAATCTTTCTGTCCACCACAATTCACTCTCCAGGCTTGAGTCACTGCCAGCCAGATAACACCCCCCCTTGCTCGATCTCACCGACTCTAGCCCAGTTTTCCATCCCAGTTGCAACAAAGCCTCAATTCCTCCCAACCCTAAAATTTTAAACTTCATACGCTGTGGAGCTTGCTCACCTCGGACCCTGTATTGCATGGCTCTCCCGCCCACCCATTCCTCAAAACAGCACAAGTTATACTTTCACTCACTCATCCAATCTTTTTTTATTATGTCTTTTAGCTGCCATGAACCTTTCAGAAGCTGGGGCTACAGCAGAGAATGTAGCAACATTCTCACTGTCTTGTATTCTAATGGGGGAAGATCGAGAAATGAACCGTGCAATGTGTTGAAATGCCAAGGAAAGCAATAAAGGTGTGCACATATGTATATTTTAAAAGCAAGATTAGGTAGAAACCTTAGCAAAAACCGGAGACAGAAGTGTGTTTGGAGGGGTAAAGGGACTGTAATGTCAGCTGGGTGGAGTGACAGACTGGAGGGAGATGGAAGGAGATGTGGTCTCCGGGCCGCTGGGGCAAGTTCGGGTGAACTGAGCCGGTGGAAAAGACCGTCCCACCCTGTCATTCCTCTTTCAAAGAGTACATGCACCTGCCCTATGGTCCACAGACCCGTGGGCCCGCTTCCTCTGTCCGTGGAACCTTAATAGGTCCAGCGGTCTCCTCTTTAGTTGTCTTAGACTCGTTCCTTATAGCTTTTATGGTGGCTACTATCCAGCCCACTCCCGAGTGCTGGCACACACAGCCAGCAGCTTCTTGGCACAGAAATGCCTCCTCCTGGGTTTGCAGGTATGGCTCAGTGGCGGAGCATGAGCTCAGTTACACACATCCCCAACACACAGCTGTTAGACAGCCGTTCTCTGCAGTTCCAACTTGCAATTCCCTCTCAGCAAATTATCCTACTTAATGCTCCCCATCCATCACACTTCTCCTCACAGCTTATGTCTTTGTAACACATTGCAGATCCATACAGTTAGGGATTTGCTCAACCAAACAGCTGTTGAACCCGTAGCACCCGATAGGCCGTGCTAGCCACCTATTTGTTCACACGCAGTCAGCTCCCCTGTGAACTAACTGGTGAGGCGGGTCAACAGGGCAGGCGGGCAAGCGGCTGCTCCTGCAGAGCAGGCGACTTTAGTGGAAGCACAGGCAAACAAGGATAAATGGAGGAGACAGACAGGAAGGATAAATCACTTAAACTGATTTGAAACAGAATAAAGACATAAATTAGAACAAATTTGGAACAAAATGAGAAATAACAGCACACATTTGGACGTCACTTCACAGCGGACAGATGGACATGTAAACTCTCATGCAGCTGGGTACGATGCCCATGATTTCAATTAAGAAAACAGCCAATTTGAGTTCGGTTAGAACACTACAAACAGCGCTGAACACCAAATGATAAAAAATTCTTTATATGTATTTTTTTTTATTTTGAAATAATTTGGGGTTATAAGGTCTTTTGAAGTATTCAGCCATGATTTAAAAATTGAAATCAAAGTGCTTCTGTAACTTTCTCCTTGTGGGCATCTAATGGAACTACTTTATTTTCAGATTCTATGATTGGCTCATCATTTGGTCTAGGATCTGGGCCACCCAGTCTGCAAGACCACCCACACCTTCAGTGCATCTTAGACGTTGCCACCACATTATCGGGTCATTTGCTTCTTGGGGACTGCCTGTCACTAGGGTAGTAAACTGCATGGGAGTTGTAGAGTCAAGGGCCAGACTGATGACAACCCTTTCCTAGGACCTAGACCAGTGCTTGGCCCACAGAACCCTTGTTTATCACCTCCGATGAATCAGCGAGATAAACAGACTCCATCTAAGCCCGGTCAGGCACTGCCCTGTGGGTTTCCTGTGTTATTACACCTGCACCTACTTTGACTGTGAACAATAAGATCTCTTGACACTTTAGAGATAAAGAAAGAGCCGAGAGAGGACTCAGGCTGAAGTCTAGTCTTCTCATACTTCTGAAAAACACGGGTTAACCTCTTCCTTCTTTCCCAGCAACTTCCTGCACAATTAATCACAGAGGTGAAACAGAGTTTCAGTATCCCTTGTTGTTACTAAATGCATGAGTAAAGCAGGGAAAATATCCAGAGGTCAAATGAGTGGGTGCAATCTACTTACAGATCCCTGAGCAAACAAGGGCAGGGTACATTAGTGCCGAAATGACTTTGTGGCTTCAGAGTTATTCAGAAAGGGGACTAACTACAACATGGCTGTCTAAGAAATAACCCTAGATTCAGCTGCTTTAGGGACCACCAGTCTCATTTTGGGGATAGTTTGTGAGTCGTTGCGGCCTTTTCTTTTACATGTCCCTCCCCTTTCTCACTAGCTGTGTTTTGATGAGTTCCTCCCTCTCTCTCTCCCCTTCCTTCTCTTTCTATCCTCCTATAATTAAGCTACACACAGGAGAAGATGAGAGGAGAGTATACGAAGGATGTTGCCTTCTGAAAGGGGCGGTTTGTACTAGACGGCTCTCTGCCCTCATTCCCTTTGAGTCGCTGGCAAGTAGATTAGAAATGGCCTTTGCCCTGACACTGTAAAAAAAAATGATAATTCATTTGCAATGCACACTTCCCAAGAAGTGTGCCTCACTCCTTTCCCCTCTTTTCATCCCAGTTCACGCTCACCTTCTGTGTGGAGACCGCAGGAAGCCCAGCGGATGTGTGAACATCTGGCAGAGAGGGCAAGGGCCCAGGGATTTTACAGGGCAAGATGGGGGCCGTAAATCCCAGCGCGCGGTCCGCAGGAAGAATTTACAAAAGGGCACGCCCAGTTCCCTGTTTGAGCAGTCTCTCTAGTCACACTCCTAGCTCGAGTGGGAGATGTTTCATTCCGAAGGCAGAGCAGCCACGCCTGGCACCCGCCCCGCTGTCCTGGGGACCCAGGCGCTGTCCGCGAAGGGCGCAGCGTGGGAGGCCCACGGGATCCCCGGCTCACCCTCTGCCCGGCAGGTGGCGTGGACCACGGACTCTGGAATTGAGGCTGAGTCAGAGGAAACTTCCTCCCCGACCAAACCCGGGAGTCTGCCCTTAGCATCCCGAGTTTCCCCGCCACACATTCAACACGGGCCCGCCCGGAGACCAAGTGGTTGTCCCGTCTGTCGTGCTTCCCATTTGGGTTTTCCCCCCACCCAGAGCCTGGAGTGTGATGGGCACAGCTCAGTATTTACTGTCCGGCTGGTGGGACAGCCGACTGAACGGCGGGAACCCCGAAGGACGAGGGGACCGCGTCAAGAACCCCCACATTTTCTTCGGATCTAGTGGATCTAGTTGTATCTTGAGAGGGCGCATCTGGGCTCCCAGCGACCTAAGTGACAGTGACAGATATCCCCACTCTCCCGCCGCCACCAGGCCTGACACTCACCTTCTCGGCAGGGCTCCCCGGGTGGCAGCCTCAGCTGACCCCCCATGGCCTGGGGACCGGGCTTCCTCGGCGCTGGCACTAGTTTCTCACGCACCTGTACCCCCGGGACCCACGGCGGAGCTTCGGGGTCCGCCCAGGGTGTGCGCTGGCTCCTCCCCCGTGGCAGCCTCAGCCAATGAGAGTGGCTGGGTGTGGCATCGGAGCGAGCCACGCCCCCTGGCCCTGTGGTTGGAGGCTCCTGCTCCGCCCATTGACTGCCGGCGTGGCTCTGTAGGGTGGGACGGGTTGCGGTGAGTGTGCAGGCCAGAAACACCTGTTCCAGAAGAGCTTATGAGGTCACAGCGTGGATGCTGCCGAAGCCACTCCCGGGGTGTACTGGAGTAGAATCTGTGCTGAGGTGCCCCCTTCTGGCTGTCCCGGAGCCCACGATTTTGTGCTAGCTGGCATCTGTGGGCCCTGCCCATTTGTGGGAGTCTTCCATCACTGGCTTTTATGGCACAGGACCCTGTCTGCTGGACTTCTGCGCTGAATCCATGCTAAAGTTTACTCTGGGAATTTTCGAACAGGCTTGGTGCTTCTTACTTACCCCTTGTCCTTCACTCCTACCTGTTTTCAACCAGCAGGAATCTCCCTCTCCACACACTCAACTCCTTTATCCCCGCGCCCAGTCATATAGATGTATGAAATAAGCTTTTAAGGGAACATCAATGCCCAAACTTAGGAAATCTGTTCCCACACCGAGGTTTATGGTATTCTAGCTGTGCGTTACATAGCATACAGGCACATACGTGAATCGACTTATTACATTGTGCAGTTTATTAACTCCGGTTTGCAGATGAGAGATTCAAGGTAAAGAATGAGGTGGAGTAACCTAGCCACGAGGTATTTATATCTCGAGAAATGGGCACACTTTCTCCTGAAACTTTCAGCGGGGAAAGCGGGGAGTGTGCATACGTTTTTGGGGTGCTTTTGTGCTCTGGCACTAAAACACTGTACTCCTATCCGTTCTCCTCCCCTTTATTCTAGGTGTTCTTGAACAGCTATTAACTTTATTGCCTAAGAGTTTCACTGCAGAGATTCAGCTTGCTTTTCTTGTTTTCGGGCTTATGAGACAAGACTTAAATCCAAATTAGTCAATAATCCAAGGTGCATACTTGTTATGTGGGTATGACTTGTGGAAACAGAATGGGGTGGGGACGGGAACAAGTGAAAGTGGCGAGGATGAGTTAAGACGGTTTTGGATGGGGAGCCTTGTGAATTAGACATCTATTTAAATATTTTCTTTGGCCATCAGAGTTGAAGTTTTGTCTTCATCTTAAATTGGCAATGATAATAAATCGTTATCAGGCACTTATATCAGGTACTTACTACTATTTAACAAACATCAGTTACTATGTGGCAAAAAACTATCCTCAGCACTTTATAAAAATTTGTTTAATTCACATGAAAGCTGTTCAAGATGATAGATGTTGCTATTCTCTGCTTTATGCTTCATATCTTCACTTGAAAATGTTCCCTTGAGATGCATTGCTTTTCTTTGTTTGCAAACGTGTGCACACATGTGTGTGCAGGTGCACATGTCCGTGTGTCTGTGGAAGCCAGAAGGTGATACCAAGTATTTTGCTCAATTGCTCTTCCCTTTATTCCCTCGAGATGAGGTCTGTTACTGAACCTGGAGACAGCCTAGTCAGCAAGTCCCAGAAATCCTTCTGTTTCCGTCCTCCAGAAGGCTGCGGTTATAGGTGTGAACCATATTAGCTTTTTATGTGGGTTCTGGTCTTCCTGTACGTGCAGAAGAGCTGTTCCCTTCCAGGTCATCTGTCCTGCACTTTGAGATGAAGGGCAGTTTTTCACAGGAGGGACTTTGTTATAATTCTTCCTTATTTAGGTTCTGGCAATCCTCTGGAAAAAAAAAATACTCAAACTTATTTATGATCACAGCTGTCCCAAGCTCAATGTGGCCTAAGCAGAAATTGACCATGAATTTTCTTTCACTGAGTGTTTCTAGATGAGCATATATGCAGACATCACACAGAATGTTATTAGTGCATTAATTGGGGGCAGCTGTTAGTCCAACCAGGAATATACTATTTAACCCAAAGAAGAACAACACTTATAAGTCTCCAATGAGGCCACTCCTGACTTTGGGAAATCCTGTTATGAGTCAAAACTTAGAATGTTACAGTAAACAAGACCATGTAAAAGGCTCTGTGCAAGGTCACTAGACCCAGCGATGATTGTGAAAACTAAGATCCACAATGCCTCTGAGCTTGAGGAAGCAAAGCCACACTGTCTTGGAGCTTGGGCAGGTCTGGAGAGTGCCTCCTGTGTGAACCTTTTACCTCCAAATTGCCACATTATGGGGGAGTTTGTGGTTCCCTGGGCTGGGGGTGGTGACCAGGTGGAGGGTAGGGTAGCTGGTGGGCAGGAGGTAATGTGTAATGAGTCATGTGTAACACTAGATCACTGCTCTCGGTCTATTATTGTCCCAACCCCAATCTGTCTTTTTAAGGGGTTATCAATTTTGAGAATCTTGCTATGAAGGAATTGATTTTCTTTGCTGACTCAAAATTCATTGTCTCATTTTCTTAATTTGAAATCTTTTTTTCTTATACTTCGAATTTAGTTTATGTTTTATACTTTTCAATGTGAAATTTCAGATAATTGATTTGAAGCACTTACTGTCTTTTAATATATGTATTTAAGGGTCTGGGGAGCTGGTTCAGTGGTTAAAAGTGAATGCTGTTTTGGAGAGAGCCTGAGTTTAGTTACCAGCACTCACACCTGGCAGCTCACAACCACTTGTAATTTCAACTCAAGGGGACCCAACACCCTTTTTTGGCTTGTCATGAGCACTTGTACACACACACACACACACACACAGAGAGAGAGAGAGAGAGAGAGAGAGAGAGAGAGAGAGAGAGAGAGAGAGATTGAAAATGAAAATGTCTTTTAAAAAACCATGTAAGTGGATCTCTGCAAGTTCGAAGCCAGCCTGGGCTACCAAGAGAGCCCCAGGAAAGGCGCAAAGCTACACAGAGAAACCCTGTCTCGAAAAACCAAAAAAAAAACAAACAAACAAACAAAAAAAAACCATGTAAGTAAGCTGGGTGGTGGTGGTGCACACATTTAATCCCTGTACTCTGGAGGCAGAGGCAGGCAGATCTTTGAATATGAGGCCGGTCTCGTCTACAGATCAAGTTCCAGGACAGCCATGGCTATTACACAGAGAAACCTTGTCTTGAAAAATCAAAACCAAAACCAAGCAAGCTAACAAACAAACAAAAAGCTATGTAAGTATGTAAAGCTAACATTTAATTTCAAACACTACATTAGCTCCATCCTGCAATTTTAATGGGTTGCACTTTTATTAACATTTAGTTCACAATATTTAAAATCATTCATTTTGTTTTCCTCCTTAATCCAGTTCACTTAGGAATAGATGGCTTGATTTCCAGACACTTGGTACTTGGAGAGCTGCAGTTTCCATGTGTTTTGGATTGACCCTAACTACTAAAGCAAGTATAAGAAAACGTGGAAGTCTTTCACTCAGTCCAGTGAATATCAGGAGGCACGTAGGCAACACTTGACTTCCCAAATCTCCCTCCACCCTAGTCTGTTCTTGGTGCCCCTTTCCATCTTGTCAAACTAGACAGTGTTTTCGTGAATTGCTTTAAGTCAAACAAACCAGCAGCATCCTTGTTTCCATCCCTTCATTCACACCCCAGAGCCAATCAATCAGCAAATCATATTTGCCTCTGCCTCAAATCTATATCCCAAATCTGACCCCTTCCTTCCACCCTAACTCCCCCCAACCTGGTTAGAGTCACGGTCACCTCTTACTGAATTACTGCCACAGTCTCCCGAGTGTTCCCCGCCCCATCTTCCTTCTCAGACCACAGGTCCCTGACTCCCTCTACCCCTTGTTTATGCCGATGGTTTCTCTGATTCTCTTTGACAGTGCAACACAATCCCGGCTTTCCCCGGGGAAGTGGGCATGACTAGCTCCGTCATGGCAGTCAGGTGTCCCCTAAAGGAAGGCTTCCCCCAGCCCGAACCCTCCCTCATGCCATTCCCCCCTCCCTTTCCTTACACCCCAGGTCACACCTGACTTATGTGCTCCCTACTGTGTTTGCTCTTTCTCCTCCTTATCGGAACGCTTGCTTTATGAGGGTAGAAATGTCCTCTTGTGAGTTATCGACTCCTTGGTGCTTAGAAGAGAGCCTGGTACTTCACAAGCACTTGAATGAATAATTATGCGTTGCAGTGAGACACGTGCTCCGTGTAGAGTAATAGACAAATAATGGACAGTCCTAAACTCAGAGGGTTTGCAGTTCTTACGGGGAAGATAATCATTTAGTTGTTAAGCTATTAATTACACAACCTTTAATTGTGATCATAAAAGTGGTGATGTCATTAATGGGCTGAGATGGCTGAAGGTCTTGGTCGGTTGGGAGATAGATTATCAAATACTTAATAACACAAAGTCAAGAGCCAGAATTTCTCAATTCACGTGTTGTTTTGTTGTTTGTTGTTTGTTTCTTAACAATGGAAATACATAAACAATCAATTTCATGCAAATGAGCGTCTATGGTTACAGGCACTTTAAATAGGATTATGAAGACTTAGAGGAAGCTGACGAAGCAGGACAGAGAGCCGGGTTGAAAGTAGCCTATTAAGTAGATAATCCATGTGGCTATGTTCTTTCCTCAGTCAAGGTTACTGCTGGTCCCAGGGAAAGAAACTCAGCGATGGGGAGACGGGGTCAAGCTACACACACCGTGGAGCGGAAAAGAAAACATCACATGGTCTTCTCACCCCCTTTAAACTTGAGTTGATTGGGGGAACTTCCTTTTATATGTTTCATATACACAGATAAAATTTCTACTTACCTTCAATTTCATCAAAAAATACACCCCTCCCCAAAGGCTTCTGGTTAATGTCCCTTCCTTCTCAACTATTTGTGCTCCTTGCATGCGGTCCCTCAGGTCTGTATCACACGATGTCTTAATGGTCTTCCTCCTCAGCACGGTCTCTGTGCACTCCTGGACCCCAGAACAGCTCCCCTGTACATCATAGGTGCTCAGGAGTGACTGCTCCTGCCAGTTCCTTTAGCTTATCATGTT